GCAGGTGGGGGTTTTAGGGGGGGGAACGACGACTAGCAGGTGGGTGGTGTAGGGAAAAACTGACCCCACTTTAGAGGGGGTGATGTTTGGAGAACTGACGACTTCAGAGGCGGGGTTTTGGGTAGGGAGAAGACGATTACAGGTGGGGGGTGTAGGAGAAATACTGACTTCAGCAGGTGGGGGTTTGTAGGGGAACTGACTTTAGCAGGTGGGTGGTGTAGGGAGAACGACTTCAGAGGTGGGGAGTAGGGAGAACTACCTTCAGGGGTGGGTGGGGGTTTTTTGGGGAGGGGAACGACTTTAGCAGGGGGGGGTGTAGGGGAAAGAAATGTTTTAGCAGGTGGGGGGTTGAGGGAGAACTGACTTCGCAGGTTGGGGTGTGTAGGGATAAATAAGATTCAGCAGGGGGTGGTGTAGGGAGAACGGACTGACTTTAGAGGGGGGGTGTAGGGAGAAGACTGAATTCAGAGGTGGTGGTGGGGGTGGGAAAGCGATTCAGCGGTGGGTGGTGTAGGGGGAACTGACGACTTCAAGGGGGGGGGGTGTAGGGAGAATGATGACTTCAGCAGGGGGGCGGGTTTTTTTGGGGGAAAATGACTTCAGCAGGGGGGGTGGGGGGAGAAAAGACTTTTAAAAAGGGGGGGTGGGGTGTAGGGGGAAATACTGCTTTAGCGGGGGTGGTGTAGGGGGAATACCCCTTAGCAGGTGGGGGGGTAGGGAGAAAAACCTTCAGGGGGTGGGTTTGGGGAGAATACCTTCAGCAGGGGGTGGTGTAGGGAGACGACTTCAGCGGGGGGTGGTGTTTAGGGGAAAAATGCTTTTAAGGTGGGGGGTGTAGGGAGAACTGACTTAGCAGGGGGGGTGTGGGGGAGAACTGACTGACTTAAACAGGTGGGTGGTTGTAGGGAAAAAACTGATGACTTCAGCAGGTGGGGGGTTGGGAGAACTGACGATTCCCGGGGGGTGGGGGGGGAAACTGACGATTTGCAGGGGGGGGGGGGTGTAGGGGAGAACTGACTGACTTCAGCGGGGGGCGGGGTTTTTTAGGGAAACTAACCTCAGCCGGGGTGAGTAGGGAAACTACCCCCCACCGGTGGGTAGTAGGGGAACGACCAGCAGGGGGGTGGGGGTAGGGGGAAAAGCTTTAGAGGTGGGTGGTGGTTTGGGAGAAAATGACTTTAGCAGGGGGGGGTGGGGGTGTTTGGGAGAAAAGACTTCGCATGTGGGGTGGGTAGGGAGAACGACTTTGAGGGGGGTGGTGTAAAAAGGGAGAACTGACTTCACGGGGGGTGGGGTAGGGAGAATGACTTCAGAGGGGGTGGGGGTGTAGGGAGAATGACTTACAGGTGGGGGGTGTAGGGAGAAAAATGCTTCAGCAGGGGGGGGGGTGTAGGGATTGAATTAAAGGTGGGGGGTGAACTTTTATCTATCTGAATACGATCTTAAAAAATTTTTTTGTGGTTGTACTTTCAGAAGTGAAAGTGTCAGTACTATTATTTTTTATTGTTAATAAAATAATACATGGGGTTTTATGGTCTTTTTTAAGGACCCAAAGAGCTTTTCAATTATAGAAATGAAAAAAAAACAAAAAACAGTGACAGAACATCAGATAAAAAAAAACTGAATAAAGAGGGGGGGGTGCTCAAAGAAGGGAAAAAAGTGTGATGTATCATAGGGGAGGGTTTTGGGAATTTTAAACCCCAAAAAAGGTTTTGGGTAAGGGGGGGGATTGGGGTTATATACGAAGCCTGTTTTGGGTTTAAGGGGGGGGATTGGGGTTATATACAACCGTTTGTGTAAGGGGGGGATTGGGGTTAGTATATGAACCTGTTTGGGTAAGGGGGAGGATTGGGGGTAGTTCCCAAGCCGTTTTGGGGAAGGGGCGGGATTGGGGGGGTTTATACGAAGCCCGTTTGGGTAAGGGGCGGGATTGGGGTTAGTATACGAAGCCTGTTTAGGGTAAGGGGCGAGATTGGGGCTTAAGGGTAGGCCTTGTCAAAGAGGTGGGGCTTTAGGAGGGACTGAAAGATGGGATCAGCACTCATACTTTGAGACTCTTTATGAATACGGGCCCTGAAAGGTATCTCTGTTGACTACCCTCAGTCTTTTGATATATCGCCAAGCTTCATGCTGCATGGAAACAGTAGGTGGTGAAACACACTGGGCTGGGATATTTATTCACTGATGAAATATTTAATTGAATGTTAAGTAAATACACTTCTGTAGTCTTTCCTGTGTATATAAGACGTGCTGGTGTGTTTGAGTTTGTTACACAGTAGTTTGGGCTGTTTATTAACGATAGCTCCTCACAATGGCTCTCGTATCAAAGACTTAGTCAAACCCCTTCACAAATCTGGGAGGGTGGTTGCACAACGAGGCACGCACACACACACACATGCACAACAACATCACACCACAGTTCCTTGTGTTAGTGTGTGTGTAGCTGCTTCCATTTCCTGCTTTCTGCCTCCCTTTAAGATTGTTGCTTTACCCTTAACCCACACTCCTGCTGCTCCAGTTGTGGTTGCTAGGAGACTCCATTGAGCCCAGGCAGGAAGAGTGTGTCTATCTTGGCCCCACCACAGAGACACAGGTTCATACCAGGCAACCAGAGATTGATCCAGAGAGAACTGATCTGTGAGCGTCAAAGTCTGTATTAAAAAATAATCTAAGAGTAGGTGGAGTAGTAGGAGAGTGCTGATCTAGGATCAGGTAAAACCCTGTCCAGGTAATAGTATTCATTTTTATCTAAAAGGCTAAACTGATTCTATATTAGCACTCTTACTGTGAGACTGTTAATACAGACCCTAAAGTACATAGTTAGCTGACTATTGTTAATACAGACCCTGAAGTACATAGTTAGCTGACTATTGTTAATACAGACCCTGATACGTACCATAGTTTAGCTGACTATTGTTAATACAGACCCTGAAGTAACATAGTTAGCTGACTATTGTTAATACAGACCCTGAAGTACATAGTTAGCTGACTATTGTTAATGCAGACCCGAAGTACATAGTTAGCTGACTATTGTTAAATACAGACCCTGAAGTACATAGTTAGCTGACTATTGTTAATGCAGACCCTGAAGTACATAGTTAGCTGACTATTGTTAATACAGACCCTGAAGTACATAGTTAGCTGACTATTGTTAATACAGACCCTGAAGTACATAGTTAGCTGACTATTGTTAATACAGACCCTGAAGTACATAGTTAGCTGACTATTGTTAATGCAGACCCTAAAGTACATAGTTAGCTGACTATTGTTAATACAGACCCTGAAGTACATAGTTAGCTGACTATTGTTAATGCAGACCCTAAAGTACATAGTTAGCTGACTATTGTTAATACAGACCCTGAAGTACATAGTTAGCTGACTATTGTTAATACAGATCCTGAAGTACATAGTTAGCTGACTATTGTTAATGCAGACCCTAAAGTACATAGTTAGCTGACTATTGTTAATACAGACCCTGAAGTACATAGTTAGCTAACTATTGTTAATACAGACCCTGAAATACATAGTTCATTAGCTGACTATTGTTAATGCAGACCATAAAGTACATAGTTAGCTGACTATTGTTAATACAGACCCTGAAGTACATAGTTAGCTGACTATTGTTAATGCAGACCCTGAAGTACATAGTTAGCTGACTATTGTTAATACAGACCCTAAAGTACATAGTTAACTAACTATTGTTAATGCAGACCCTGAAGTACATAGTTAGCTGATGCGAAGAGTTCATTGTAGGGGAAAAGCATTCCAGGTGACTACCTCATGAAGCTGGTTGAGAGAATGCCAAGAGTGTGCAAAGCTGTCATCAAGGCATACAGTAGAAAAGTTTTGAAGTCTATGATGTAAGAGTATTAATAGATACATTGCTTGAAAGTTTCCTCGCGTTCTTTTCACATCCAAAAATAAATACATTGGTAGGGTAAATCCATTTGAATTCAATCATAGATTACATTTAAGAAGAATTTCTATATGGCCTAGAATTCAATCTAGGTTTGATCTTGTTTGTTTTGGGTATTGATCCCTCACTATAAAGCGCATGGGGATGTTATTTATTTTCAGAAACTTTTAACCTTAGACTTCCATTATTTTGGATTTCTCTTTTAGACAGTATACTGTATGTGTATCACACTGTAGGTGTTCTGAGATTACACATGACTTAGCATGACTTGGGTGGTTGGAGTCTTTGACACCGCTTGGTATAGAGGTCCTGGATGGCAGGGAGCTCGGCCCCAGTGATGTACTGTGACCCCAGTACCATCGCCAAGGGGACTCAGTGGCCCCATGAAACTGTCTCTTGGATACTGTTGTTCTCTACTGTACACTCTGTATGGCAATGTCTCAGAAATGTCTGTTTAGGTTCAGCCCTAACCTGTGAGAGTGAGATGAGAGCAGCTCCACTGTGATTACTGAACACTGTCCAAGCTGCTGCTTTCTCCAGTCACTGTACAAGGGGTGGCGTTCACGTATCTTATGAGCAGAGGAACTTGTGAAATGCACCATATCTCTCCTATGAGCATTCAAATAATTGATGTCTCGACTCATCTGGTCAAATGGCAGCTTGGACATTTCATCCAACATTGTTAAATCACCCATTGTTTTCTGAAGCTATGGGAATGTACATTACAGTACTTCAAATGGATTGGCTTTTTCAGTCTGAGCCACCTCTGGTGTGTCAGAGGAGGTCATTGAGAAAATTCCTATGCCATAGTAATCACTGTGATTTACTGTCTACTGAGTCCAAGCTTTTGATTTAGATGACGAATGTTCTGTCATTTACAGCTCACTCATCTCGCTCGCTCGCTCTCTCTCTCTCTCTCATTTGCTCTCGCATTCTCGCTCTCTCTCTCTTGCGCGCTCTCTTTCGCTTGCTCTCTCGCTCTCCCTCTCTTCTCTCTTTCTAAAACCTTTGCCAATGTTCCTCTACCACTGTAGTTTTTCTCTCCCCCCTACAGAAGCGTCAGATCCTGGTGACTCTCGTGGAGATCGCCCTGCCCCTGCTCTTCGCGGGCATCCTCATTGTGCTGCGTCAGCGCGTGCCCTTCAAGGACTACCCCAACGCCACCCTCTACCAGAGCTTCTCCGTGGATGGCCTGCCCTACCCACTGGACCAGTTCTACCATCACTACCAGTTGGCCTACGTGCCGGGCAACGCCAGTGTGGTGCGGCGGGTGGCGGAGGACGTGCAGCGCAGCCTAGGCCCCGCCATCAGTTCAGGTGAGTAAAGGCGAGAGTGTGAGGGCTGTGGAGAGCCTAGAAATAGAATGGTGACGAGGATGTGGCAGAGTGGAGCTTTTAACCATGGTTGTAGCCATATGGTTCTGATGATGTGATGATGATAGTGATGATAGTGATGATGATGGTTTAGATGGGAACGGATGATGATGTTGAGTTTGACTAAAACCTCAGAACACAAGATGATCCTCTGCTGGAAAAAACAATACTGTCTTATCATGAAAACAAGCTAATTTCTGCCAGTTTAAGTGCATCCTATAGTGAGAGGCCATCTCATAGAGAGAAGATGGGACTGGTCTACCAAGTCTTTGTAGCGGTTTGGGTCAGAGGCTCCGTCTGTCTGTCCAGCCTGTGTCTGTGTTCTGCTGTGAGGTGACTGGGACCTAATCTCTGTGCTGGTCACTGTCCTGCATGGAGTTGTATCTTATAATGGATGCAAAAATTGATGGAAAATGTAATGCAAACCCTAATGCAAATGTCACAGTTTAGTTTGGGTTGCCCAGGTGTAGTCAGTGTGTCATTGTCTCGAACAGAGAACATTATTGCCTTTGTTGAGTTCAATTTCATTTGGGGTTACTTACAGCTTGCCTGTGTGTGCGTGAAAGCTTGTTACTGCATCCTGACCTGTGAAAGATGACCCCTTAGCTGTTCAGAGGAAGGTTGTATGGCCATACACAACATCAGGACAATAATTTTATCATCACTTAAGTGCAGATTTGTGAGATTCTATAAGCATGGACCTGTAAAAATCATTGGCTATAGTGTTAAAGAAAGCCCTGAGCATTTGAAACCCAGTCACATACAATACTGTTACTGTAATGACCCCATTTTCCCTGGAAAGCAAAGCCCACATTGCCATTCATTGAATTACTAGATTGAATCACACTTTTGTCCCAGTGCCCTGTAGGTCAATGATCTCTTCCTGTGGCATGCATTTAGCCAATTACACTCTATGCTAGGCATTATGGGTGGAAGTTGCAGTTTCTGTGACCAGTGGCACAGCTTTGATACTGTAAAGGCAAATCTATTCAATAGGAATCTACTATGTTATAGTTAAGCCTGTGTCACTGCCTTGTATGTTGTTGTACTGTTGTAGGCTGATCTATTCAATAGGAATCTACAAATGTTGTTATAGTGGGCTCTGTAGCCTGTTATAGTAGGCTGTTATAGTAGCCTGTTATAGTGGGCTCTGTAACCTATTATAGTAGGGCCTGTAGCCTGTTATAGTGGGCTCTGTAGCCTATTATAGTGGGCCTGTAGCCTGTTATAGTGGGGCCTGTAGCCTGTTATAGTGGGGCCTGTAGCCTGTTATAGTAGGCCCTGTAGCCTGTTGTAGTAGGCACTGTAGCCTGTTATAGTAGGCCCTGTATCCTGTTATAGTAGGCCCTGTAGCCTGTTATAGTGGGCCCTGTAGCCTGTTGTAGTGGGCCCTGTAGCCTGTTATAGTGGGCCTGTAGCCTGTTATAGAGGGCCTGTAGCCTGTTATAGTGGGCCCTGTAGCCTGTTATAGTGGGCCTGTAGCCTGTTATAGCGGGCCCTGTAGCCTGTTGTAGCGGGCCCTGTAGCCTGTTGTAGCGGGCCCTGTAGCCTGTTGTAGCGGGCCCTGTAGCCTGTTGTAGCGGGCCCTGTAGCCTGTTGTAGCGGGCCCTGTAGCCTGTTGTAGTGGGCCCTGTAGCACTGTTGTAGTGGGCCTTGTAGCCTGTTGTAGTGGGCCTTGTAGCCTGTTGTAGTGGGCCCTGTAGCCTGTTGTAGTGGGCCCTGTAGCCTGTTGTAGTGGGCCCTGTAGCCTGTTGTAGTGGGCCCTGTAGCCTGTTGTAGTGGGCCCTGTAGCCGTTATTTTGGATACCATGGCTATGCCCCCATAGGATGACAATGCCCCCATCCACAGGGCACGAGTGGTCACTGAATGGTTTGATGAGCATGAAAATGATGTAAACCATATGCCATGGCCGTCTCAGTCACCAGATCTCAACCCAATTTAACACTTATCAGGGGGTTTTGGAGCGGCGCCTGAGACAGTGTTTTCCACCACCATCAACAAAACAACAACTGATGGAAGAAAGGTGTCGCATACCTCTAATAGAGTCCCAGACACTTGTAGAATGTATGCCAAGGCACATTGAAGCTGTTCTGGCTCGTGGTGGCCCAACACCCTATTAAGACACTTTATGTTGGTGTTTCCTGTTACCTGTAGGCTCATCTATGAAATATGGCTGAATGTTGTTGTGCTAGTATAGCATGTACCACTGCCCTGGTGTTATTGTAGGCTCACATAACAGCCTCAGCTGACCTGAGAATACTGGTTCCTCCAGAAACGTTTCCTGAGTCCTCAGGACCCACAGGACACATTAACACACACACCACACACACACACAATGGAAGTGCATCTAGGCTGAGCTGCTCCATTTACATTTACATTTTAGTCATTTAGCAGACGCTCTTATCCAGAGCGACTTACAGTTAGTGAATACCTTTTATTTTTTTTATTTTTTTATACTGGCCCCCCGTGGGAATCGAACCCACAACCCTGGCGTTGCAAACGCCATGCTCTATCAACTGAGCTACATCCCTGCCGGCCATTCCCTCCCCTACCCTGGACGACGCTGGGCCAATTGTGCGCCGCCCATGAGTCTCCCGGTCGCGGCCGGCTGCGACAGAGCCTGGATTTGAACCAGGATCTCTAGTGGCACAGCCTTAGACCACTGCCCCACTCAGGAGAGTTGCTCCCATAGAGTGCTTGTTTACACTGGTGTGGTTTGGCAGCAGCTTTCATTGAACTGTTTTAAAATGAGAGCGCTTGTATGTGCGTGTGGGCCTGAATACCAGTGCTCAAGATAAGGTAAACAGAGTAAGTTGAAATCTATAGGATAGGTAGACAAATAAATGGAAAAGATCATTTGAGCTGTAGATGTGATATTGTTTGTTTTCCATAACTGGAACACGGGGTGAAATTGAGGCTTATTTCAACACTTCACTGTGTCTATATCATACCACTGTTATATCAGCCTGTTGTGTGTTCAGCTGGCTTTCATATCAGGGTAGTACAGATAGTGTGTGTGTGTGTCTCTCTCTCGATGTCAACTGGTAGAATTCACAAGGTTAAAGGGAGAGTACGGTGTGGGTAGACATGTCATGGGAATTTCTCACTTCAACTAATGTCAATCTCTCTCTGTTTGCCCCAACAGTGCGTGGGTTTGAGACGGAGGAGCAGTTTGAGGACTTTGTGAGGAAGGACCCTCTGTCTCGGAAGGTTCTGGCTGCTGTGGTGTTTGAGCACTCCTTCACTCACGATGACGAGCCACTGCCCCAACAGGTTGGTTTAACAGTGTATTCATATAGTTTGTATTGCACTTAGGGCTGACCCCAATTAGTCGACTGGTCGATTGTTTGGTCGATAGGCTGTTGGTTGACAAATATTTTTTTTAGTTGCGCTGTAGCAAATATAAATTATATACACTGCTCAAAAAAATAAAGGGAACACTTAAACAACACAATGTAACTCCAAGTCAATCACACTTCTGTGAAATCAAACTGTCCACTTAGGAAGCAACACTGATTGACAATAAATTTCACATGCTGTTGTGCAAATGGAATAGACAACAGGTGGAAATTATAGGCAATTAGCAAGACACCCCCCAATAAAGGACTGGTTTTGCAGGTGGTGACCACAGACCACTTCTCAGTTCCTATGCTTCCTGTGTGATGTTTTGGTCACTTTTGAATGCTGGCGGTGCGTTCACTCTAGTGGTAGCATGAGACGGAGTCTACAACCCACACAAGTGGCTCAGGTAGTGCAGCTCATCCAGGATGGCACATCAATGCGAGCTGTGGCAAGAAGGTTTGCTGTGTCTGTCAGCGTAGTGTCCAGAGCATGGAGGCGCTACCAGGAGACAGGCCAGTACATCAGGAGACGTGGAGGAGGCCGTAGGAGGGCAACAACCCAGCAGCAGGACTGCTACCGCCGCCTTTGTGCAATGAGGAGCAGGAGGAGCACTGCCAGAGCCCTGCAAAATGACCTCCAGCAGGCCACAAATGTGCATGTGTCTGCTCAAACGGTCAGAAACAGACTCCATGAGGGTGGTATGAGGGCCCGACGTCCACAGGTGGGGGTTGTGCTTACAGCCCAACACCGTGCAGGACGTTTGGCATTTGCCAGAGAACACCAATATTGGCAAATTTGCCACTGGCGCCCTGTGCTCTTCACAGATGAAAGCAGGTTCACACTGAGCACGTGACAGACGTGACAGTCTGGAGACGCCGTGGAGAACGTTCTGCTGCCTGCAACATCCTCCAGCATGACCGGTTTGGCGGTGGGTCAGTCATGGTGTGGGGTGGCATTTCTTTGAGGGGCCGCACAGCCCTCCATGTGCTCGCCAGAGGTAGCCTGACTGCCATTAGGTACCGAGATGAGATCCTCAGACCCCTTGTGGGACCATATGCTGGTGCGGTTGGCCTTGGGTTCCTCCTAATGCAAGACAATGCTAGACCTCATGTGGCTGGAGTGTGTCAGCAGTTCCTGCAAGAGGAAGGCATTGATGCTATGGACCGCCCGTTCCCCAGACCTGAATCCAATTGAGCACATCTGGGACATCATGTCTCGCTCCATCCACCAACGCCACGTTGCACCACAGTCTGTCCAGGAGTTGGCGGATGCTTTAGTCCAGGTCTGGGAGGAGATCCCTCAGGAGACCATCCGCCACCTCATCAGGAGCATGCCCAGGCATTGTAGGGAGGTCATACAGGCACGTGGAGGCCACACACACTACTGAGCCTCATTTTGACTTGTTTTAAGGACATTACATCAAAGTTGGATCAGCCTGTAGTGTGGTTTTCCACTTTAATTTTGAGGGTGACTCCAAATCCAGACCTCCATGGGTTGATAAATTTGATTTCCATTGATCATTTTTGTGTGATTTTGTTGTCAGAACATTCAACTATGTAAAGAAAAAAGTATTTAATAAGATTATTTCATTCATTCAGATCTAGGATGTGTTATTTTAGTGTTCCCTTTATTTTTTTGAGCAGTGTATATTTCTTATGGCACATGAGACGCCTGTCTTATTCGCACCCAGCTCAGTGAAATAATCCATTGCGGTGGCAGAGACTAGTCCATTGCGGAGGCCGTGGGGATGTTTACTTCACCTCAAACAGCAAGCAAACAAAGTCTATTTTTACATCCATTGAGAATGAAAATAGTTCCTCGATGTATTTGAAAAAAATTTCCAGCTCTCTCCCTTTCAATAATCACTCAGTGTGAAAGGGGAAAATGTCATGTTCTGATCCAGTGGAAACGTCATAAAATAGGCTTACCTGGTTACTTCTTATCCCTTGCGCAAATAGCTTGCAAATAGCCTACAGCTGTGTCTGTCCCAAGCTCCCTGGGGCAGGAAACTCTGAGGGCCCAGAATATTTTATACAATGTTGCAAGTTTGCTAGCTTCGGGCCAGACCCAAGTTAATAGTTGTAAACCATAACTGGCATGCAGATTGGTAGAAATAGTAAGATAAAGTGTCATTCCACATGAGAAAGATTGCCAACTCCTTGTGTAGACTATTACCGGAAACTTCAGGAGAGTAAGGGCAGAATCTGCGAAAGCCATCAGTTGTGGGAGGAAGATGGTCAGGTTACGTTTATTGTTTATTTTTCTGGTTATCTTGATGTCTTGCTCCCTCTTGAGTCATTTGTGTCTTATTTCATCAAAGTGTGCTTAAAGCATCAGACAAGCTCAATTACCAGTCGTGGTCAAACGTTTTGAGAATGACACAAATATACATTTTCACAAAGTCTGCTTCCTCAGTTTTTATGATGGCAATTTGCATATACTCCAGAATGTTATGAAGAGTGATCAGATGAATTGCAATTAATTGCAAAGTCCCTCTTTACCATGAAAATGAACTTAATCCCCAAAAAACATTTCCACTGCATTTCAGCCCTGCCACAAAAGGACCAGCTGACATCATGTCAGTGATTCTCTCGTTAACACAGGTGAGAGTGTTGATGAGGACAAGGCTGGAGATCACTCTGTCATGCTGATTGAGTTAGAATAACAGACTGGAAGCTTTAAAAGGAGGGTGGTGCTTGAAATCATTGTTATTCCTCTGTTAACCATGGTTACCTGAAAGGAAACACGTGCCATCATCATTGCTTTGCACAAAAAGGGCTTCACAGGCAAGGATATTGCTGCTAGTAAGATTGCACCTAAATCAACCATTTATCGGATCATCAAGAACTTCAAGGAGAGAGGTTCAATTGTTGTGAAGAAGGCTTCAGGGCGCGCAAGAAAGTCCAGCAAGCGCCAGGACCGTCTCCTAAAGTTGATTCAGCTGTGGGATCGGGGAAACACCAGTACAGAGCTTGCTCAGGAATGGCAGCAGGCAGGTGTGAGTGCATCTGCACGCACAGTGAGGCAAAGACTTTTGGAGGATGGCCTGGTGTCAAGAAGGGCAGCGAGGAAGCCACTTCTCTCCAGGAAAAACATCAGGGACAGACTGATATTCTGCAAAAGGTACAGGGATTGGACTGCTGAAGACTGGGGTAAAGTCATTTTCTCTGATGAATCCCCTTTCTGATTGTTTGGGGCATCCGGAAAAAAGCTTGTCCGGAGAAGACAAGGTGAGCGCTACCATCAGTCCTATGTCATGCCAACAATAAAGCATCCTGAGACCATTCATGTGTGGGGTTGCTTCTCAGCCAAGGGAGTGGGCTCACTCACAATTTTGCCTAAGAACACAGCCATGAATAAAGAATGGTACCAACACATCCTCCGAGAGCAACTTCTCCCAACCATCCAAGAACAGATTGGTGACGAACAATACCTTTTCCAGCATGATGGAGCACCTTGCCATAAGGCAAAAGTGATAACTAAGTGGCTCGGGAAACAAAACATTGACATTTTGGGTCCATGGCCAGGAAACTCCCCAGACCTTAATCCCATTGAGAACTTGTGGTCGATCCTCAAGAGGCGGGTGGAGAAACAAAAACCCACAAATTCGGACAAACTCCAAGCATTGATTATGCAAGAATGGGCTGCCATCAGTCAGGATGTGGCCCAGAAGTTAATTGACAGCATGCCAGGGCGGATTGCAGAGGTCTTGAAAAAGAAGGGTCAACACTGCAAATATTGACTCTTTGCATAAACTTAATGTAATTGTCAATAAAAGCCTTTGACACTTACGGAATGCTTGTAATTATACTTCAGTATACCATAGTAACATCTGACAAAAATATCTAAAAACACTGAAGCAGCAAACTTTGTGAAGCCCAATACTTATGTCATTCTCAAAACTTTTGACCACGACTGTATATAGTTGATTTTATTCAAACACATACGGTGTGTCTATATATAGAAAAATACAATCGATTGGTCAAAAGAACAGACTACTTTCGGTCAACTAAGATGTTTTTTAGTCTGGGACAGCCCTACATTTCGCACTGTATGCCTGCCCGTTTCCTAACAAACCAATAAACTGTGTCTTAGTTTGTTCATTCATCATTGATGAAGGAGACATACAGGCTTCAAGACTGGGAAGGGAAGGGGTGAGGGAACGGGCGAGAAGGTAGAGGGGATGGGGTAGAGGAGATTCATGGCAGTGAGCGTATTTGGGGGAATTGGGAAAGTCTCTTATCTGAATCCTGTCCTTTCTGGATAGAGGGGGAAGACCTACCCTCTGAACCACGTGGATGTGGTGTTGATAGACAGATAACACATGCATTTATTACAGTATGTTTGTGACCAGTCACACTGGCTGGACAGCTTCACTGTACTTGAACCTAGGGTGACCACATTTAAAATGCCCAAATGCAGGACAACGGTATGATTTTGCGGGACATTCATGGGACAGTGTAGTCTACACTTGAATAGTTTTTCCCAAGTTACACGCACACAAATCTCCCTACTGCTGCACCGAGCGAGCTAATTGAAGTGTACCTTGCCTACTGTTTTTCCTCAAGCAAAATGTTGTGATGCATAAACGAGAGACCACTTGCGTGGCAGTTTTATGGAAATCTGGGAATATATGGTCAAGGAAACATTTCAGGTTGGTCTCAGGAAATGTAAAACAGTTAGGAGGAGAGACTTTTTAAAATGGGATTGAGTGAAGTAGTAGCAAATATGTTGAGCAACTAATGAGCATGAAGAGCCTCACAAGTTTGACGAAATGACCATTCAGTCTAATACGGCTATTTACTTACTTTTGTAGCTCTTCGTTAGACGCACGCACGCTTTTTGTAAGTTGTTAACGATCCTCTCCAAGTTTAGCTGGAATTTAGCCTGAAAGGATTTGACAAATGTGATTGGGTGATGATATGACATTGGCCTACTTCTCTTCTTGCGCTGTGCAGAATATCAGATCTCAACAACGATTGGAGAAGTGTTTAACATCACCAGCCCCACATCCTTGATATTTATCTTGTCATAAGTGCAACGTGACTGCAAAAGAGACAGGTTGGAATGTCAATTCTCATCAAATGAATAGGAAGTCTGACCGAAATACGTGACAAATGTACCTTTTTCCTAAATTAGTGGTGTTTTAATTTGTTGATAAAATGCGGGACATGATTGTTTGGTTGCGGGACGAAGGGCCAAAATGCGGGACTGTCCCACACAATCCGGTACATGTGGTTACCCTACTTGAATCTTGAACTCTGAATCAGCTCTTTGTTTACAAATGAAAGCATCTGGTTCTCACTGACAGTATTATTGCCACTCATTCAAATACTTTAATCCTGGAGTCACCTGCAGTCCAGCCAAGTCCTTGACGTGCTAACATTTAACCACACTTAGTATTTCCTCCTGGTTGAAGAGGCTATACAGAACTTTTGCCTCTGGGGGTGCTCTTGAGCCAAAAGGGGTCCCCTATAGAGACAGAAATATTCTACAGAAATGACCTCATTGGACAGAAAGCGGCAGACCTCGCCACACCCATTTAGGTGCACCAAAAGCTAAAGTTTCACAGTGTATTTTTAACCTGTGCAGCAGGAATGACCTGCTGGAAGGAAATCAGGAAAAAGAGACAACAGAATTCCCTGGCTGGGTTGATACTGTTAAATCTCCATAGGGAGGATGGTGTCTGTCTGAAACAGTAAGTCTATCGCGCTCTCCCAAAAGTTTGGTTGATGAGTAAAACGCTCTGTGTATGCTATCCTGATGCAGTAAAAACAAAAATATAAAAATGAAGTAAGCTTTATGCAACGTCTTTTTGAGTGCCGACCAATCACACTCTATTGCTTATCTGAAGCAGTTAGTCTGACTGACAGGTTTATGAAGCTGGACCATGTTTAACCTGAGAGAGGCTCACTCACAGCCCGCTCTGATGGGTGGATGGAGAGCTTGGTTGTGTCCCAAAATGGCACCCTATTCCCTATATAGTGCACTACTTTAGACCAGGGCCCGTTGGGAGATGAATCGCAGTGTGTCTTGTCTTCTTTTCTCTCTCTCATTCTCCCTCTCTCTCTGCCTCTTTTCATCTGTCTTTTAGCGAGACCTGTGGTCAGTCAGTCATGAGCAGATTGAGCTGATAGCTTGATGATCTCAGGCCCAGCGTCTGTCTGTCTGTCTGAGGAGTACAGAGAGAGGGTGTGTCTGTCTGTCTGTGTCATAGTGGAATGTGGTGGTGCTTAGGTGTGGGGTGGGCAGAGAGGTAGATGGTGGTGGATCAATATACACTACCGTTGAAAAGTTTGGGGTCACTTAGAAATGTCCTTGTTTTCAAAAGAAAAGCAATTGTTTTGTCCATTTAAAATAACATCAAATTGATCAGAAATACAGTGTAGACATTGTTAATGTTGTGACTGGCTATTGTTGCTGGAAAAGGCAGATTTTTTATGGAATATCTTCATAGGCGTACAGAGGCCCATTATCAGCAACCATCAGTCCTGTGTTCCAATGGCACGTTGTGTTTGCTAATCCAAGTTTATCATTTTAAAAGGCTAGTTGATCATTAGAAAACCCTTTTGCAATTATGTTAGCACAGCTGAAAACTGTTGTGCTGATTAAAGAAGCAATACAACTGGCCTTCTTGAGACTAGTTGAGTATCTGGAGCATCAGCAATTGTGGGTTTGATTATAGGATCAAAATGGCCAAAAACAAAGAACTTTCTTCTGAAACTCGTCAGTCTATTCTTGTTCTGAGAAATGAAGGCTATTCCATGCGAGAAATTGCCAAGAAACTGAAGATCTCATACAACGCTGTGTACTACTCCCTTCACAGAACAGCGCAAACTGGCTCTAACCAGAATAGAAAGAGGAGTGGGAGGCCCCGGTGCACAACTGAGCAATAGGACAAATACATTAGAGTGTCTAGTTTGAGAAACAGATGCCTCACAGGTCCTCAACTGGCAGCTTCATTAAATAGTACCCGCAAAACACCAGTCTCAACGTCAACAGTGAAGAGGCGACTCCGGGATGCTGACCTTCTAGGCAGAGTTGCAAAGAAAAAGCCATATCTCAGACTGGCCAATAAAAAGAAAAGATTAAGATGGGCAAAAGAACACAGACACTGGACAGAGGAAGATTGGGAAAAAAGTGTTATGGACAGACGAATCGAAGTTTGAGGTGTTCGGATCACAAAGAAGAACATTCGTGAGACTCAGACCAAATGAAAAGATGCTGGAGGAGTGCTTGATGCCATCTGTCAAGCATGGTGGAGGCAATGTGATGGTCTGGGGGTGCTTTGGTGGTGGTAAAGTGGGAGATTTGTACAGGGTAAAAGGGATCTTGAAGAAGGAAGGCTATCACTCCATTTTGCAACGCCATGCCATACCCTGTGGACGGCGCTTGATTGGAGCCAATTTCCTCCTACAACAAGAAAATGACCCAAAGCACAGCTCCAAACTATGCAATAACTATTTAGTTAAGAAGCAGTCAGCTGGTATTCTGTCTATAATGGAGTGGTCAGCACAGTTACCGGATCTCAACCCTATTGAGCTGTTTTGGGAGCAGCTTGACCGTATGGTACGTAAGAAGTGCCCATCAAGCCAATCCAACTTGTGGGAGGTGCTTCAGGAAGCATGTGGGGAAATCTCTTCAGATTACCTCAACAAATTGACAATTAGAATGCCAAAGGTCTGCAAGGCTGTAATTGCTGCAAATGGAGCATTCTTTGATGAAAGCAAAGTTTGAAGGACACAATTATTATTTCTATTAAAAATCATTATTTCCTATTCAAACTCATTTCATGTATGTTTTCATGGAAAACAAGGACATTTCTAATTGATCCCAAACTTTTGAACGGTAGTGTACATCAACTGGCCTTTCACATCTACAAAAAGAAAATATACTCTTCCAGTTGTTCATAATGTCTTTCTCTTTCTCTCTTTTACTCTCCCTCCCTCCCTCCTTCTATTCCTCTCCTCCTCCTCTTATACCCTACAGGTCAGCTACCACCTACGGTTCACCTTTAGTCCCCGTAACGCCCCGGCCCAGGAGAAGTCTGAGCTAAACATCAACAATGACTTTGACTGGCACACCCTCAACCTGTTCCCCCTCTTCCAACTTCCCGGTCCCAGGGAGCAGTACGACCTCCAGGGGGGCACGCCCGGTGAGCCCTAACCCTAATTGTAACCCCAAACCTATCCCCTAAGTTTAACATGGCCTTTGTACTCGTGGGGAAGTGGGAAATGTCCCCACAATGGAGAATTTTCCTTGTTTTACTATCCTTGTGGGGACTTTCAGTGATTTCCGGTACCCACGAGGATAATAATACACACACACACACACACACACACACACACACACACACAGTCTCAGGCTTTATATGTTTGTCTGTGTGTCTGCTCCAGGTCATCTATAATTCACTGCTAGGCAAATCCACGTCTTATCTTAGCTCACTGGTCACCATAGCAACACCCACCAGTAGTCTGCGCTCCAGCAGGTATATCTCACTGGTCATCCCCAAAGCCAACACCTCCTTTGGCCGCCATTCCTTCCAGTTCTCTGCTGCCAATGACTGGAACGAACTGCAAAAATCTCTGAAGCTGGAGACTCTTATCTCCCTCACTAACTTTAAGCGTCAGTTGTCAGAGCAGCTTACCGATCACTGCACCTGCACACAGCCATTCTGAAATTAGCCCATCCAACTACCTCATCCCCATATTGTTATTTATTTTGCTAATTTGCACCCCAGTGTCTCTATTTGCACATCATCTTTTGCACATCTATCATTCCAGTGTTAATACGAAATTGTAACTATTTTGCACTATGGCCTATTTATTGCCTTAGCTCCATAATTTACTACATTCGCACACACTGTATACAGTGGGGGAAAAAAGTATTTAGTCAGCCACCAATTGTGCAAGTTCTCCCACTTAAAAAGATGAGAGAGGCCTGTAATTTTCATCATAGGTACACGTCAACTATGACAGACAAAATGAGAAAAAAAAATCCTGAAAATCACATTGTAGGATTTTTTATGAATTTATTTGCAAATTATGGTGGAAAATAAGTATTTGGTCAATAACAAAAGTTTCTCAATACTTTGTTATATACCCTTTGTTGGCAATGACACAGGTCAAACGTTTTCTGTAAGTCTTCACAACGTTTTCACACACTGTTGCTGGTATTTTGGCCCATTCCTCCATGCAGATCTCCTCTAGAGCAGTGATGTTTTGGGGCTGTCGCTGGGCAACACAGACTTTCAACTCCCTCCAAAGATTTTCTATGGAGTTGAGATCTGGAGACTAGCTAGGCCACTCCAGGACCTTGAAATGCTTCTTACGAAGCCACTCCTTGATGATCCACACTCCCGGGCGGTGTGTTTGGGATCATTGTCATGCTGAAAGACCCAGACAATGTGATTTTCTGGATTTTTTTTTCTCAATTTGTCTGTCATAGTTGACGTGTACCTATGATGAAAATTACAGGCCTCTCATCTTTTTAAGTGGGAGAACTTGCACAATTGGTGGCTGACTAAATACTTTTTTTCCCCACTGTATATATTTTCTGTTGTATTTTTGACTTTATGTTTTGTTTACCCCATATGTAACTCTGTGTTGTTTTTATCGCACTGCTTTGCTTTATCTTGGCCAGGTCGCAGTTGTAAATGAGAACTTGTTCTCAACTGGCTTACCTGGTTAAATAAAGGTTAAATAAAAAAATTAATAAAATAAGATATTGCCTGTGTGCATGTTAAGACGGATTACTGATAAGACAGACAGAGCGAAGAGAGAGATGGTGAGGGAAAGTGTTGGGAGGGAGGGAAGAAGACGTGGAATGAGTGATCAATTCAGAGCGAGTCCGAGGGAATTGGAGAGAAGGGTGTCAAAGTATGTTTATGGGTGATTGTCCATTCCAATCATTTCTGTAATCAAAATCCTGATTATTTGACAGGGCAGAGGAGCAATATAATATTTAAAAGATAAGTACTGCATTATAGATTCACTGGATGAGAACTCCAGGGTTGTGTTCATTAGGCCCCAAACGGACTGAAACAGGGAGGAACTATCTGGACTGGTCCAATAAGAAATACTCCTTTTTGTGTTCCGTTGCAAAACATTTTCAGTTGCGTGCCCTAATGAACACCACCCTGATCTGTCATCCATGTTGGTTAATGAGACATTATTGACAGTGAATCTTTTCAAGCATAAACACAGTAAATATAGTAAACAAACACCAACTGTTTCTGCAGGCTCCTTCGGGAACAGTGGATCAGAGCCAGATACGAGAGGAATGAGTTTGTGTGTGTGGAGAGACAGTAGCTGTCTGAAGCATGACAAACACTTTTTTTTTATTAAACACAACTCTACTTTGCATAAAAGTGTCTCCTAAATGGCATATACTATATAAAATGTCAAAATCTGTACTCCTACACAGGTGGGTTTAACCAACTGCCGCAGTCAGGTGCACTGTCATTCTCTTGTTTTCACAGATCACACACTCGATGGGAGAGCTTTAGCTATTTGCACAGCCCCTTGAAAGATAACATTTCCTCCCTGCTCCCTCCTTGTTCCCATGGCAACCCTGGCTTTGTGTCACAGGGCCACAGTGTTTGGCTGAGCCCTGTAATCTAGTGATACCCTCTTGTCACACTACCTTTCTGACCCAAACTGTATTTTTCACAGCTTTGCCTTTATCATCAGGAAACTTGATGTTTTTTTTTTTTTTTGTCCATCCACATGGATGCACTTAGTTCTCTCTGATAAATGGTGATAGTGATGGCTCAGATAGTTGTTTTTAGATCTTTTCCAGAATATTTCCAGAAACGATGGTGGTGGTTGCATAACAAGTAGTATATTATATAGAGAATAGGATGCCATTTGAGATTTGCCCCATCTCTCTGCTCATGGCTCCAGGTCCTCCATCGTTGATCCTGGCCTTTTGATGCCCTTCCTCCTTCCTTTTTGAAGCTATGTCCATATTCTGACTCCCGGAAGAGGAAGAGATGATTAACGAGGGATGAGAACAGGAGAGATGGCGTTCTGGTGTCCTCTACTGAGCCAGACCTTTGATCTAAAATTAAGTGGCTGTGTTAATGTGTCTCTAATGGGAGATATCAGGGTCATGTTCATTAAAGCACACAATGGAAAACGTTTATGAAAATGTTCCATTCTTATTGGTAGTCCCTCCCTGTTTCAGTGTTTTTTTTTTCTTCATTACTGAGGCCTAGCTCCTGCCTCTTAATGCCAGTTATCCCTTCATCAGTTCAGATTGTTCAGTGAATAGCTGTTGTCATCATTTTCAGATCAGCATATGTTAATATGAACTTTTGGTGGGGTGAAGGAATGATCTGGTAAAAAGGTCAGATAATGAGTCATAATTTCCTGTTTATCTCCATGGTAATGGAAGAGTGTCATACTTAGAACCAGATGTTTTTTCCCACCAAAATATGACATGAACAGGAAAAACAATGGGCCCTAGGGATAGGCTCTAACTAGGGCTCAGAGTTTTGCCAGGTCAAGTCAGGTGGTCAGGAAAAACTTGTGTCCGTGTCGTCATGACTTGTGTCCGTGTCGTCATGACTTGTGTCCGTGTCGTCATGACTTGTGTCTGTGTCGCCATGACTTGTGTCCGTGTCGCCATGACTTGTGTCCGTGTCGCCATGACTTGTGTCCGTGTCGCCATGACTTGTGTCCGTGTCGTCATGGCTTGTCAGTGTCATCATGACTTGTGTTTGACAACATTGTCAGGAGACTGATGAAAGAAACTCCCTAGGCTCCAGCCCATGCTTTTACTGATCCATAGGGAGGAATGCACAGGGGCCCACATTGTGAGAATTGAGACGCATTTATTCTAACATAACCTGGCTCCTCTTTGTAGGTTACTTCCGCGAGGGCTTCCTGGCGGTGCAGCATGCGGTCAACCGGGCCATCATGCGTTCCTATAACAGCACGGGAGCAGCCTGGCTCCTCTCCCGCACCCGGGTGGTCCTCCGCCGGTTTCCCTTCCCACCGTTCATCTACGACGTGTTCATACTGGCCATCCAGAACCAGCTGCCCCTCCTCCTGGTGCTCAGCCTCACCTACACCTCCCTGAACATCGTGAGGGCCGTGGTGCAGGAGAAGGAGAGGAAGCTCAAGGTGGGTGAAGGGGTGAGGTGGTGGATTACCTGTCTGTCAATCAAGCAAACTGTTAATCTCACTCTACTCACTCTCTACAGGAGTACATGCGGATGATGGGCCTCAGTAACTGGCTGCACTGGATGGCCTGGTTCCTCATGTTCTTCCTCTTCCTCTCCATCTCCATGTTCTTCGTCACGCTGCTCTTCTGCATCAAGGTGAGTTTACACTTTACATAACTGTTATGTTACAAAACAAAAACACTTAACTTGTTTTTTCTTTCTATTGCTTAGAGAAGGGGCATGATTCTAAATTGTCAATTGTTTTTTCAACTGTTCACCTCTTGACTAAGGAGGTCACGTCAAGAGAATGTCTCTGACTAATAGTACCTGGCTGAATAAGGTTGTTATAATAAAGCTGAGTGTCCTCAACAGTACCTGTCTGAATAAGGTTGTTATAATAAAGTTGAGTGTCCTCAACAGTACCTGGCTGAATAAGGTTGTTATAATAAAGTTGAGTGTCCTCAACAGTACCTGGCTGATATAAGGTTGTTATAATAAAGTTGAGTGTCCTCAACAGTACCTGGCTGAAAAAGGTTGTTATAATAAAGTTGAGTGTCCTCAACAGTACCTGGCTGAATAAGGTTGTTATAATAAAGCTGAGTGTCCTCAACAGTACCTGGCTGAATAAGGTTGTTATAATAAAGATGAGTGTCCTCAACAGTACCAGGCTGAAATAAGGTTGTTATAATAAAGCTGAGTGTCCTCAACAGTACCTGGCTGAATAAGGTTGTTATAATAAAGATGAGTGTCCTCAACAGTACCAGGCTGAAATAAGGTTGTTATAATAAAGCTGAGTGTCCTCAACAGTACCTGGCTGAAATAAGGTTGTTATAATAAAGATGAGTGTCCTCAACAGTACCAGGCTGAAATAAGGTTGTTATAATAAAGATGAGTGTCTACTTGATCGCGATCTGTCCAGGGTTGTGTTCATTAGGCACTAAATGAAAGAAAACCATCTGAAACGTGGAGGGACTACCTGAAATTGTCCAATAAGAAATGTTTTCGTTTTGTGTTGCAAAAGGTTTTCCTACGTTTTGCTACAGTGTGCCCTAGTGAATCCAAACCAAGGTGTCGGTGTCCAATACAGTGTGTTTAGTATTGATGATGATAATGATGTTCCTTCCTGTCCTGGCCTTTTCTAGGTCAGCCCTAATGGAGCTGTGTTGACCTATAGTGACCCCACCCTGGTATTAGTCTTCCTGCTCGTCTTCGCCGTGGCAACCATCAACTTCAGCTTCATGATCAGTGCCTTCTTCTCAAGAGGTGTGTGTGTGTCTCAAGAGGTGTGTGTGTGTGTCTCGAGGTTTGTTAGTGTGTCTCTCAAGATGTCTGTCTGTCTATCCATTCTTCTGTCTGTCTGTTTATTCATGGTTTTCTAAAACCTTAGCTGTTCTCTGCTATCTGAGAGATGCTCCATTGTGTATAGTATGTTCTGTTCAATGTACTGTAGGTCATATTATTTGACTCTCCTGTGGTTGTTAGTCTTTCCTCTCTGAGTGAACAGCAGTAAACCAGCTCCATCAATCATTGGAGCCTGGAAGATGGTCAATCAAATGTCAATTCAGCTTCATGGAATAATAGAACAATCACTCAGCGTGACGAACTGGAACAAAGGGGAGAGGAGATGTGGTGAAAAACATGTATGTGAACAGCGAATACGCTTGCTTGGGCGTTTAGAATATTGAATTGTTAATGTTATAATCGAAGGCGATTGATGCTATATGATACATTACATTTCCAGTTCTACACATCCTGGGTCTTGAGCTAATGTAGGCTCGGCACAATGCGGATGTTGCTTTCTTAGCCCTGCTGGTGTGGTCAGAGTTGTGCTGTACTGTAATGATGACTTGTAAGGTCAGCAGACAGTCATGTCAACAAGTCTACGTACTGACTTTTACAGAGGCTGTTTGGTTGTTTCTGTCCACCGTTGTCAGGGTCCAGAAAGGCACATTGTAGCAAAACGTAAAACAAAAATAAGTGTTTCGTATTGGACAAGTTCAGATGGTACCTCCTCATTTCACTCAGTTTGGGGAGGTTTTCTTCTGTTTTGTGCCTACTGATCACGACCGAGGATTAAAGCAAAGCCAATCACACACAGCCAATCACACACAGGCTCATTTGGTTATTGCTAATATAATACCCTCACACAAAAAGGAAATTGTGATTTATTAAGTGGCCTTCAGTTGATTACACTTGATAGTCCTTTATCATTTCTCCTTCTATACTTTCTTATCTTTTCGAACAAAAAAGTCCAGTCCAGACCCTCCAATTTCTCCAAATCGTTCTTCAACAAAAGAGTGCACATAGAGATTCAAATGATCTGTGATTGTGTTCAAGGCCATTTTGGACTCTGTTGTAATCATGCAAGCTGTTATTTACTCCCAGCAGTCATACAATGTCTGTCAGGCTTTGGCTTTTAAAAGAGTAGCTGAAAGCTTAACAAATAAAAATCTTGAAATTGCGTCTGATTGCAATGTGTATTATATGTATTTTCTCCTGCACTTTCTTTGAGCCTATTGGTTGGGTGTGTGACATACAGTATAATGTCATTATTAGAGTAGAGTGAGAAAGGGCTTTTAGCTGGCCTGAGCTGTGCCTGGCCCCTAGTCACAACAGGACCCCTCTCCAGGTGGCCTTCCACTGCCCGAAACTCTGACCTCCTGCAGAGTTAGGTGAGTGGGTACTCACATTCAGATCTGACATGCAGAGTTAGGTGAGTGGGTACTCCCATTCAGACAGGCTCCTCAGCATGACTCGGCAAAGGGTGCTTCATTTAAATTCAGGAAGCAAACTGAAACATTATTTCTTCATTGCTTTTTGCTTCTTGCTGGTAGTAATGGAGGAATCAACCAGGCCTGAACGTTGGGGTCCACGGGGGAATGGATCAGGGGCTGATATGGAAGGAGCGCCCCTTTGTGGGCTGTAGTCTGAGGTTTTTAGTGTCTTGCATTTAAAGATGAGGCATTTCCTCCTTTGTCTTTCTTTCTCCCGGTCTCTGTCTCGCGCTCGCTCTCGCCTAATTTATTTATATTTTCTACCACTCTCCCCCATTTGTCAGGAAAAGGTAGAGTAGCTCATATCCCATTCTCTCTCCACCTCAACCTCTCTCTTTCTCCCTCTCCTACTGTCCGGTAGGCACCCTGGGCTCTCTGGGGACTGAATTATTCATGTCCCTAGGTGGGAAAGCAGGTGGAATCTCTGCTCAAGATGATGAATGTTTTCTGTGAGTAATGTTTCTCTCTTTCTCTCTCTCTCACTCACTGACTCTCGCTCTGTCTCTCTCTCTCTCTCTCTGTCTCTCTCTCTGTCTCTCTCTCTGTCTCTCTCTCTCTCTCTCTCTCTCTCTCTCTCTCTCTCTCTCTGTCTCTCTCTCTCTCTCTCTCTCTCTCTCTGTCTCTCTCTGAATGTGTGTGTCCGTGAGTGCTAGTCTGAAAGGAATGCAGAATGACGAAGGCCTTGTATATTATCAGGAAGTGTCTTTTGTGTCAGATGGTGAAACTTTCTCTCTCTCTCTTGGTCTCTCTTGAAGAAGATATTTTATCTCAACGAGGCTAACCTTGATAAATAAAGGTTGAAAGAATCACAGATAACAAATACAGATAGCCTATCTCTTGTTCAGCAGACGGGCACAGAATAACTATATCCAGTCATCTTAAGATGAATCTTCGACCCTGGCATTGCACACACAGGACCAATGAATCCCCTGTTCTAACTACCTCTCCCTGGCCCAGAGTTGTCTTCTATGTAATTTCGTAAAACTACAATTATCAAATCAAATCAAATCAAATTTGATTGGTCACATACACATATTTAGCAGATTTAATTGCGGGTGTAGCGAAATGCTTGTGTTCCCAACAGTGCAGTAGTATCTAACAATTCACAACAATACACACATCTAAAAGTAAAAGAATGGAATTAAGAAATATATAAATATTAGATTGAGCAATGTCAGAGTGGCATTGAATAAAATACAGTAGAATAGAATACAGTATATACATATGAGATGAGTAAAGCAGGATGTAAACATTATTAAAGTGACTAGTGATCCATTATTAAAGTGGCCAGTGATTCCAAGTCTATGTATATAGGGCAGCAGCCTCTAAGGTGCAGGGTTGCGTAACTGGGTGGAAGCTAGTGATGGCTATTTAACAGTCTGATGGCCTTGAGATAGAAGCTGTTTTTCAGTCTCTCGGTCCCAGCTTTGATGCACCTGTACTGACCTCACCTTCTGGATGATAGCGGGGTGAACAGGCCGTGGCTTGGGTGGTTGATATTTTTAGCCTTCCTGTGACATCGGGTGCTGTAGGTGTCTTGGTAGTTTGCCCCCGGTGATGCATTGGGCAGACCGCACCACCCTCTGGAGAGCCCTGTGGTTGCAGGCGGTGCAGTTGCCGTACCGGGCGGTGATACAGCCCGACATGATGCTCTCAATTGTACATCTGTAAAAGATTGTAAGAGTTTTAGGGGCCAAGAGAATATTCTTCAGCCTCCTGAGGTTGAAGAGGCTCTGTTGTGCCTTCTTCACCACACTGTCTGTGTGGGTGGACCATTTTAGATTGTCAGTGATGTGTACGCTGAGGAACTTGAAGCTTTCCACCTTCTCCACTGTGGTCCCGTCGATGTGGATAGGGGCGTGCTCCCTCTGCTGTTTCCTGAAGTCCACGATCAGCTGTGTTCCCAACAGTGCAGAAATGCTTGTGTTCCCAACAGTGCAGTAGTATCTAACAATTCACAACAATACACACATCTAAAAGTAAAAGAATGGAATTAAGAAATATATAAATATTAGATTGAGCAATGTCAGAGTGGCATTGAATAAAATACAGTAGAATAGAATACAGTATATACATATGAGATGAGTAAAGCAGGATGTAAACATTATTAAAGTGACTAGTGATCCATTATTAAAGTGGCCAGTGATTCCAAGTCTATGTATATAGGGCAGCAGCCTCTAAGGTGCAGGGTTGCGTAACTGGGTGGAAGCTAGTGATGGCTATTTAACAGTCTGATGGCCTTGAGATAGAAGCTGTTTTTCAGTCTCTCGGTCCCAGCTTTGATGCACCTGTACTGACCTCACCTTCTGGATGATAGCGGGGTGAACAGGCCGTGGCTTGGGTGGTTGATATTTTTAGCCTTCCTGTGACATCGGGTGCTGT